GGCTGCCCTAAGGAGCAGATGTGGATAAGATGTCTTTTGTTATGGTGTCCTACAGCATGGGAGGAAAACACACTACAGCTGGAGCAGTGTCAAACAGGAAGCAACTTCCCAGACAGCTCCTTCCCTGGAGCCTTGAYCATGGTGCCAAAATTGTAATAAAGGTCAACTTGATGCCATGTTGACTCAGTGGGCTGGGCTGGGTGACCCTGGCTCTGGCTCCTGTTCTTCTGCCTTCCTTGGGACAAGGGCAATATCCAGATTAATTACTCTGGCTTCTTGCTGCCTGGATATTCCAGCTGGTTTAGGCAGCTTTGTCTGTTTTCCATAGAGGAAGTCCCCCTAGAGCTGCTTTGCCARCATACAGYGACCACGCTGGCATTGCTGCAGCACAGTGGAATTTTGTGTCTTAACAGTGTGCCATGATGACATTGAGTGCAGACTTTGCTCTCAGACGTTTTGTTTTCTCRTGAGTGCATGACCTTTGCACTGTGGTGTTTCTCATTTTGCAGCTGCCCCAGATTCCTGCAGAGAAAGCAGTGGGTGATGCTCAGTGAGCTCGGAGGGTGGGCATGGCTGGTCATCGTGGGACAATGTGGCTTCTTCCCGCTGTCCTCCTCTTCCTTCAGATGATGCAGACAGGTAGAGCTTTCRCATTAACTTTGTGYTGTTTTGCCTACACCACRCAGGTGATTGTCAATATTYTTGTTTTGCAGAACAGGGGACATGAGTGAACATCTTGTACCTCTGCTRTSTCACCYKCCTTGCTTCCCTTTGTCAGSTGCAGWGTGATGATATYCAGGGCTCAGGCACATGAGGAATACCATTTTGCACAGGCAATTGTGTCAGTGTAAATGATGGGGGCAGTATGTCAATTTGTAGTGCTTTCAAATGCTCAGCACAATTAATGTGCTTTTTCTCATGTTCTCAAGAAATGTGATAATTTARTAATCCTTACTATCCATTTATAAGCTGCTGAGTGACAAAGTGATGCCCACAGTATTGAACTATGCAGAGAGGAAGAATCCTACTCCATAAGTCACTGTGGTTTTCTAAGTCTCCACACAAACATCATAGCTGTGCTTGATAAAATAGATTGGCCCAACTGTTCTGTCCCTGCTCCAAACAGTGGCAGAACAGGTGGTAAAATATAGAAATTTGAAATTCGTCTTGTTTAAATCAAGCACTTATTAAGCAAATGTCACTTTTCTGGATAGTCTRCTTTTTCTATGAAACATGCCAGAGAACATGTGTGATGGAGGCACCCATTTTTTGCAGCAGAGCAATAAATGGGAAAGACCATGTCAATGAGCATCAGAGAAGAAATGAAATGGGGTGGGAGAAAGGACTGCTACATGAAATGTGTCTCCAAATGCAATGTTATTTCCGTGTCCTCCGTGTAACTGAGTTTATGAGATAAGGGTGTCTGTGGCCCTGGAGTCGGGTCAGCCAGTTTGTCYGGGAAAGGGAGAAAGGCTGCAGAACACAGATGAGGGCAGCATGAGCTAAGAGCTAATAACCTGAAGCTCAAGCTTGTACCTCAATGGATACAGTGGGAAAATTTTGGTTCTGTAAGCAGTGCCAAACAGAGTTTGGCCTGCTCATATGAATTTAGAAGTGTTTTGTAAAGTTTGGGGGTTTTATTTTCYTCTGTTTAATATGCTGCTATCTGTGTCTTTAAATGAACAGCTTTGCAGGCAAAAGAGATGCACAAAGCCTGAGATGACCCTTAAGGAAATAAAATAGTTTTTAGCCGGTAGTTGCAAAGTAGAAATGTCCTGTCTAATTTTACAGGCTTCACTGTAAGTTATGTAGACCCTGATCACTACTACCTTATCTTCCCACAAAAAAAAAGATTTGTATATGCACCGTCATACAGTGGCCACCAAAAAGATATTGCAAAACTGAGGGTATGTGGATGAATCATTGCAGGTTTGGAATTATTGCATTTGTACTGCTTGTTTCATCTGGAATTGGAAACTCACAAGATCTATATTTTAAAAGAAAGGATGAAAGGTYGCTTACTAAAACTAACACCTCTTCTGTGTTCACTGAAAATGCTTGTACACACACAATAATTTGGG